CTGTGCTGGAGGGTTCAAAAGACAACACCTTTAGGTACCAAACAATAACTTTTTAGAAATCCACCAAGCCAAAAAGAAGGGAAGAGGCTGAGAGAAACTGGAAGGTATCTCTTTTCCCCCAAACCCTGAGGAGGAGGATTCGCCTTCGCTTCCTTTGAAATGGACCCAGTGATCAGACTCCCCCAGGCCAGCAGGCACCAGTGGCAGGAAAATAAATCATTCTGATGGCTGGGGAGAGAGAGGTTGGCGGGAGAGAAAACCCGATGTAGAAGACAAGCAGGGCTGAGCGAGGCGCAAGGAGAGGATTCCATCTCTGAGGCCGGCATCAAAGGGGGTTTGGGTTGGAAATTGATATAAAGTGCCCTCCATCGTTGACTAGCCCAGAGCATTGCCTTACAGATAGAGATGCTATTTTGGAAAATGTGAGGTTTTTCAGTTTTCTTGCTTTTATTCCAAACAAAGCTCTGAAGGAAGTCTGGGTGCGATCAATCTTGCTCACCAAAAGCCTTGACAGCTTCTGGCCCTTAAGAACACATTTCAGCTTCGAGCTCTTTCCAAGATCAAATGTGGCCCAGCAAAGAGGAGAGCAGGAAACGCAAGTAAACAAGGAAAACTAGTCTTTTAAAAGATATTTTTTGGCAGCGGAAGGAGTTATAAGGCTGCTTTTAGGAAAGTGCTTTTCGGACTCTGGGGTGGCAGCTTTTGGCATTTGCTTTTACCAGAAAATATTGAGGACTTAAGGGGAGGGGGAGCTCCAAGAGGGAGCGTAGCTGCTCCCACATCACCGAGGCTTTGTCAGGGGCTGCGTGGGTGAGAGGTTTCTGCTGCCTCAGCGGCCTTAATTCAAATACCATCTGGAAGAAAACCCTTTTCTCTGGCCATTCAACACAGGAATCTTCTCCAAATCTATTACTTTAACTCAGGAGATATTTTAATAAGGATTTCTTTTTAATATCTAGGAAGCTAAGGGTGAGATCGATATTTTTTCTTTGAAAGCCACAATGAATGTCTCTGGCAAGATGTGGAAAATCATATTGGAGACTCATTTAAAAATCTCTGCCCTGGAGGGAGGAGGAAGCCTCCAAACCAGTCCTCTCTCAGCTAAAGAGTAGATTTTAGAAATGGGTTCCAATGGTGGTATCTCAGAACACTATTCCTCTCTGAGGATCTCTCTCTCTCTCTCTCTCTCTCTCTCTCTCTCTCTCTCTCTTCCTCTCCTTCTCCCTCCCCATCTCCTCTCCCACTGTTCCTTATTTTCCCAGGTAATTTTAATTGTATGCACTTCTCTTAAATTATTACTTAAAAGAGGACTCTTGCAGCTGTTCATCCTGCTTAGCTTAGATATGAACAACCAGAAGGGCAGAAGCTCCAGTCCTCACAAAGACTGCTTTTCCAGCCTCCATGTTTCTGAGATTTGCCATATTTCAGCACGGAGGTTGGTGTGAGGTAGGTGCTAATCCACTTCTTCCATAAACTCTTTAGAAAGCACCTCAGGACAGATGTGGGGAAAGCACCTCTGGCTGTGAGAGAAACACCCAGATCTTTACAGCTGCCCAGGTTTGCATCTTCCGAATCCTTTTCTTTTTCTTAAAAAACCATGAGGCGGTTTCCTAAAAGCAGCTCCTGAAGGCCCTGCAGGCCCAGCCATGGCTCCAGTGCCTGTCTTTACAGACCATCTGAGTGAGCTTCTGAGGGGGAGATAGAGGCCAGAAGATGGATATTTTGGATGCAAACAAAATGGCGACACCTCCCACCTCTGCCTCAGAAACAGAATCCAAGGAGAAGGGGGATTTATTGCTCACAGCAGACGCTCCTGATCCCCAGACGCAGGTGGTTCCTGGCTTCCAGCTTGGAGGTGGGATGCTGATGGGGATGCAGTTCTGAGGTTTGCACTTTCTGAATTTGGTTCCTTCTCTGAGCAATTCTTTAATCTGGAGATGAAAACGCTTCCCTTTCCTGCGCCTGTCTCTGCCTTTCCAGCCAGCCAGTAGGCAGCCCAGGAATAGAAATGTAATGCTTAGCTCCTGTAGCATCAAATGAAAGAAGTTCTTATAAAAATGCATTTTTATTAGAAAGATATTAATCTCCTTTCTCTCTCCCCCTCCCCCTGAGGCCATAAAAAAAAAAAAGAAAAGAAAACAAGCGGGGAGGGAAGAAGGAGAGGAAATAAATCCAGAGAATGCCAAATCCTAAATTCCGAGAGGAAGCCGATGCTGGGGCTGCAGGAGTCCAGGGAAGGGCCAAGCCCTTCTGGTGATGGAGACTGGGTGAGCCTCTCAGCCTCTTCCGAGCCGCCTCGCTCCCCATGGCCATTTTAGAAGCGCTTCTTATCTCCCTCCGCCGGATAAAGGACCGCGAAGCATCCGCGGAGAGTCCGGTTACTCCCCAAAAGTGCTCGACACCCTCTGCGGCTGGCGATTTCCCAGGTTAAGGCGTTAGCTGGTCCGCTCTGGCCGGAGGATGGTCGCGGACAGGAAGGCAGCCCGCCTGGTCCCTGGCC